GGAATCTTGTTCATTATTGGACTTAAGCTACATAATAGTGTGTGAGCTACGAATCGAATTGCTCCTCGTACCACAAAGAATCAAAGACTACAATATAAAAGCTGCTTCAGCCAAAAAAAAAAAAAAAAAAAAAAAAAAAAGACAGAGGGATTTGAGGCGCAATTTTTAGTAGCTTCTGCTACAAATTAAAAGTTTTCCCCCCACATTGACGTCACAAGAAAGATGGGCCGGACTGAAGTCGTACTTGATGCAGGATTCATTGAACTTATAGACATTTATAATATCCAAGACTGTGCACTCTGACCTAATTCCAGTCCACCAAGGAGTGTACCATTTGAGTCAGTATAAAACTGAATTAAGGATAGATTGCGCACGCACTCGGCTATATGGACCCTTTTAAGGACAAGCAGGCTAACCCAGATTTCCGGGTTTTCCTGAAATCTTGACCTACACCAAAAGTGGGCATTGCCCTACCTATAGGAGAAGTTTGGTTTCATTGGTGGGTATATTTGTTTGGTTATAGAGAAAACTCTCCTTGTCTTTTAAAGAAACTGAACAAGGGTCCAAAAACTTTACCTTCGATTTTCTCAAAACAGCATTTTTCGGGATAGCCCTATTGTGTTTAAAAACGACCATATCTAGTCTGGCGTTTTGACCTTCAATTGCGGCCCACTGTGCGCACTAGTGCAGCGACGGTTTCACAGAGAGCAAAGAGCGACGGTCATGACAGTGCCCGGTCTAGGATATTATAATGTAAGTCTATGAAACAACTTAACAGAATCCTGCCACTGTGTGTTGGGGTGACCTACACCAGGTCTATAGGATCGAACACAAAATCAAATAAAGCGTTTTCCAAATGAGTGATGGGTCCTTTAAAGTGTAAGCTTAGCAGTCTTTACGATAGTGGAATTGTAACATCAGTACTTTTGTGAATCGAGAAACTGGGAACGTGCGTGCCGAGAAGTAACGAACTGGAGATAAGTGAAGAACAGTAACCTTCAAAACAGCAACAAAAACAGCAGCAACTATAACAGCAACAAATAAACCACAAATGAGATACAGTTCCAGCTTACCGTTCTGCTCCCCGGGCTTCGTCGCCATAGTCTTTGTTGCGAAGTTCGTTGAGGTCACCGACAAACTGGGTGAATGACCTGAGGAGAAAAATGACAATGTATTCATTTTGAGTATAGTATATTATACTGGCGATAAATAAGGTACTATTTTTTGATTGTGTATAAAATGTAGTCTTTTGAGTCTCCACGCTTTTGTTCGCCAGTAAGCTTGTATTGTTGTGGCATCGACGGTCTATTGGGTTCGCAACCGAAAGGTAGCAAGTTCGAACCGCATCAGGAGCCCGAGTAGTGGCCTTTAGTGTGTGTGTGTGCGCGCGCGTGTGTGTGTGTGTGTATGTGTGTGTGTGTG